CATTCCTGCAAAACCATGTGGTCCTTGCAGAGATGCTGGGAACAGGCGACGAAGCGAGGTCCCACCCTTTGCCAGGGGAAGCACAGGGTATGAAACAGGAATGATGCAGCAGGGATCAGCAAAGCAACATGGACACCGCTGTGTCCTTAGCGAGCACTTCCTTGCTTAGCCGCAGGGAAAGGGCACGTGTTACTGCAGGGCATCGGGCTGGGGAACCAGCGCACCCAGCCTGGGGGGGGCTGGCCGCCTTCGGGGCACTCACCGCGGCAGGCTCCTTGGCTAGTGACATAGAGATCCTGGCGTTTTTCACACCGTGTCTTCTTCAGCTCACACTCGTTGGTGTAGGTCACACCATCAGAGCCACACACCTGCCAGGACAGGGAGGGAAGCCGCTCAGGGCAGTCCCTGGCACAGGAAGGCAGGTTCCCTACCCATGGGATGCCCTCTCCTGCCCAGGAAGCATGCGGGAAGGCCACCAGGGAGAAGAGAGGAGGGGAGCGAGGACTACAGCAGTCAGCTCAGAACCACTCAGCGTGCTTACCGGGTTGCGTGGCACTGCCAGGCAGGTGAAGTCACACACACAGCGGTCATCCTCTGCATCCTCATCCCACCAGCCCCCATACTGCCGACACCGGTCCTGTTCACACTCACTACCGTCGCCGGAGCCCGAGCCCCCTGAGCCGCACTCTGGAGCGAAGGAGGACGGTGGTGAGAAAGGGCTCACACCCAGCAGGGCAGGGTTTGGGGAAAGCAGAGGGGACGGGGCCAAAGCCCTCTCCCTGACATGCGGCTGTGCCCCGGGTGGGGAACCAGCCCACAGCTGCCCATCCAAACCACAGCAGATTTAACCTCTTCAGCACAGGGAACCCCAGAATCCTGGGCCCACATACATCAGGATGCTTATGCCTGGACCTCAGAGAAGATCCCTCTCCCTTGGAGAAAGCAGATCCTTCCACCGCTGTCGCGAGATTGTGCTACACCTACATAATGAAAATGGCCCAGGGACGCTTTAGCAGGTGGCTTGAGGTCCTCCTCTCTACAGCATGACTGCAGGAGCAAAAGCAAGCATCCTGCGGCTACCAGCACCCTGCTGCCCGGAGATCAGATTGCTAATGCACAGGAGAAAGGGCTGCCACTTAACTTAGCGACAGCTGAACTCCATGCTTTAATCTGATTCCTTCTCCTGCCCTCCCAATCACACAGTGCAGCAGGGAGATCGCTGCTGCTAATATAAACATGGAAACCAGAGCAGAGGAAGGGATGGGATTTGGGTTAAGCTTGAAGTTCAGTTAGGCAGATATTCTTAACAATATATAAACTCTGTCCCTAGCCTGGCTGCCTCTCCATAAGATGCTCAAAGCTTCCGCAGCTAGAGAGAGACGTTGCTGATTTCAAAGGCTTCTTAAAGGGGAAGGGGTGGGGGTGGGAAGGAAAACCTGGCCCTTTTTATCGAGTGATCAAAGGCTGGGATTTGGCATTACACAGAGAATTATTTAAGATCTTTTCCCAGAGGGACGTCAACCTGAAATTCCCCAAGGAGGGCTGTGATCAAACACCATGTTATGTCTTCCCCTCTCCCTAAGCTCTGCCATAGCACTGAAGTCCTTTCCAGCTAGACTACATGTGTAACGAGCCAGAGGATCTCAGCTCGCCTGGTCAGCCCATCAGAGCAGCACGGGTTACAGGCCTCCTGTACTCGGATTCAGCCAGCGTTAACCCACAGCTTTCCCCCTACAGTGGGAAAACTCAGCAGGTTCTTAGTTCTTAGCCTGGCCAAGCAAGGTACAGCCAACCCCACGACCTTTCCTGGTGCTTGGTACCGAGTCCTTAGCGGCCACAGGCCAGGCCCTCGAGCAGCCCCTGGGGCAGAGAGAAGGAAAGCAGCAGCCAGGCTCCCTGCCCCAGGAACCGCTCCGTTTCCCTTGGCCGAGGCCCTCTGAAGTGTGAAATTAAAGCAGTGATAAACTCCCTGCCCAGCTGATTAGGTGGCCTCATCTCTCATTCCTGCGGGATACAGAAAGAGCCGGGGGAAAGGGAGGTGGCAGGCGGGGTGCTGGCCAGGACAGCATCTCTGGCACGGGACCTGCTGTGCCGGGGACGCTGGGGGTGTCACAGGGCACTATGCCCGAGCTCCGTGCAGCGGGGCTCACGTGGCGGCTGGGTAGAGCAGAGCAGCGAGGGGAAGAGCCCGCCGCGCGCGGCCTCAGTCCTTCCTCACCCTTTCGCACCCGCGTGGCCGGAGGAATGGCGGCAACCTACCATCCTCACACGGCCCCATCCTGGCAACCTCAATGCTCTTCTTCTGCTGGCAGGAGGCCACCTGCAGCTCGCACTGGTTGTCGTAGGTGAGGCCATCGCTCCCGCAGACCTGAGCGAAGGGCTGCCTCTCGCAGCGCGGGCACACGCACTGCCCGCCCACGCACTTGCTGCCGAAGGAGCACACTGTGCTGCCGCAGGATTCTGTGGGGCGAGAGGGAGGAACCACAGTGAGACGTTGTAGGGACCTTCGCAGCCAACTGCCCAGTGTCACAGAGCTGGGGACCACCAACGCCGTGCTCTCAGAAGCAAGGAGAGAAGTCCTCGTTCCCCAGAGTGGTTTGTTATCGCTTATTTAAACTGTGCAAAGACAGCTGACAGTCCTGAGCATTTCTGATTCCCATCAGCACCCACAGGTGTCGTGTCCAACAGCTTCTCCTAGGACACCAGTAAGAAATCCCATTTACTGTCATGGTGTGTTCAGCCTCCTCCTGCTCACAATGCCCACGGAGCACTGAGAGTCATCTGTCACACTGGGTCGCTCTTCTCTCCCAAATTTAGAGAGGATGCCCATGCACAGTTCAGCCCTGGAACACCAGACCCAGCTGGACAGGTTTTATGAGGCTCCAAGCATTGCTTTTACTGAAGTAGCATTTGTCCTAATGAAGAACCTAGGCAGCGCTTTTAATTCATTAAGAAATTAGCACAGACAGTTCCCTGGGCTGGGGAGTGGCGAAGAAACACATGAGCAAAGATGAATTAACCCCAGGGGATGGAGGGAAGGGAAAGCTACTGAGATGAACTGCATGATCAAATAGGCTCTCGATGCTTTCAGTTCTGGTGGTCACTATTAACATGTTTTTAACCCCATTTCTTTGCTTGGCTCAGACAAGTAACAAAGAGGGCAGATACCCCCTATGATGCACAGCTGGGAAACTAAAATAGCTGGGGTTAAAAAAGAAAAGCCACTCAAGAGCCTCAGGAAGCCCAATTCTTGTGAAGCCAAAAGGAAAGACCCCTCCAGACAGGGTGAAAAGCCTCAGGCAGAGTCTCTGAGCAACCAGCCAGGAGCTACAGCCCAGGGGCACGCTCCTGGGTGTCCCTGGACAAACCCTGTTACTCTGGAGCTGATATCCTCCCAGGAAGTCTTCAACACAACCAGTAAAGGCACGAGGAGGAGCACGAGGGAGACCCTCCACACATCCCGACCCTGGGTTCCTCTGGTGCCTCCCAAGGCTGGCAAACCCATGGGCTGCAAGCGCTACAAATGACCGGTGAGCCTTGGACGGTCCTGGCCAGGGACCTCAGCGAGACCCGGGTGGCCAGTGGGGCTGAGCATCCGCTCTCCGAAATGCCACCAGCAGGACTGAGACGAGGGAAGAAGGGGACTTTGCCAGACTCACTGCAGTCTCCTTGGGCAGCCACCAAAATGTTCATTTGCTGCGTGCACGCCCGGACGTGGAGCTCACACTCGCTGCCGTACGTGTTGCCATCTGTGCCGCACACGGGCTGAGAGGAGGGAACGCACTCCGTGGGGCACACGCACCTTCCCGTCTCCGCCTCGCAGATGGCCCCAAACTGGCACTTGCCACAGCGGTCTGCACAAACAAAGAACAAAACCGGTAGGTTAAAACAACAAGTCAAGCAGGCATCGCTGTCTCATGAGGTGTCGGAGCAGAAATCAAACCCCACGGTGACCTCCTCCCCCAGGTCGAGACCCTGCAGCCTTGGCTGGACCAGGAGCCCCAGGGCGCAGCGCAAGGGAAGGAGCTGAGGCGAGGGCTGCGGGAGGAGGGAGGGTCAGGCTTGGAGGCAGAAAGACAATAACCGCTCGTAAAAGCCATCAGGGCCAGGAGTAACCATGATGAAATGTCACTGGAGCTGTATGCCATCATAGCTAAACAGGAGGCGGGAGAAAGCGTGGGGCTGAGTGTGATTACGAGGAGCGATAAATCAGTCCCAGGCACGGGAAGAGGAGCGCAGCATCCCAGGCTGCAAGCGGCCAGTCTCCCAGGGGAGAGAGGCAGCAGGTTCCCACGTGGCACGTTGGCGGGGCGGGGAGGAGGTGGTCGGCAGGGAAGGGGGATACTCTCTTCCCCTAGTTTATCGGGGTGCCAGCGGCGCTGGACACACAATATAACATTGCACCAATCCACGGTGCCCCGCCACCTCCCGCAGCGGGATGCTCAGCCTGCCTGCTGCACGCACGCGCACAGCACACGCACGCAGGCTCAGGTCACAGAAGATGTTTATCTTCATAATAACTCACTTGCAAAGGAGCTATCACTTGTTGCAGGAGAGAGCAGACTCCAGGCAGCACATCTCTCTCCTGACTCCTGGGTATTTAGTGATTCACGGCTTCATTTTTCTTCTTCAAACACCCTTCTTCCCTCCCCGCCATTCAATTCACAAAGAATTTGGCTCAAAGATAGTTTTTCTTATTTTTCTTTCACACAGCAGCTGCTGTCTTTGCATGGGGGAGGAAAGATGCAACAACCCCCTGCTTGGTTCGTGCAGACTGTTGGCCGGGAGGTTTCTATCTACAGCACAAAGCTTGCAGCCACGCCTGGGCTCCGCAGGTCGGGAGAGGGGCTGCTCAAGGCAGTCTGCGTGCAGACAACAGCAGCTCTTTCCTCCAGGGCACTCAAGCGCCTGCACCCAACAGACGAACTATTTGCATCCTTCACTGTTTCTCCTGTAACTACGTGGAGTTGGTACCAGCATTTTCTTCTGACCTGAATCCCGCTGGGCTCTCTGCTGCGCTGCAGCGGTGAGCTCCGCAGGTTGGAGGGGGTCTTCCTTTCCTGAAGGAAGGGTCTTCCTTTTTTCTCTGCTGTCTCAAAGCCCTTACAGCTCAGGAGCATGCTCCCCAAGCAGGACTGCACAGCACAGCTCAGTGAGGGAAGCACTGTAAGGGATTAAGCCCAGTTCTGACCCGGGCACTGCTATACACCAAGCCACACCAGCCCTAGGTGGACAACCAGGCACCAGCTCCTGATACCCAGGAAGGTTAGGGGCAGAAAGACTGTATTTTGACAAAATTGCAATGAACCTAGCCCTAACCTGACCATCCCAGCAGGTTTTGTCCTCGGAAAACCCAGCCAGCTTGGGCTGTGCCTGTCTGCAAACACTCTCTGACTGGCAAAGCTGTGCTGGCACAAGGAGGGAGCTTGCAGATGGAACTGCTGCGTATGGGTCCCAGTTGCATACTCTACGTGGCGGCAACCAGACACCCCAACAGCCCTATCTCCCCACGGGCTGGGGCCACGCTTATGCTTAAGACCCCCTCGGCTCCCAGCGAGCAACCCCAGCCGTGGCCAGCGGCAGGAGGAGAAGGAACCCCCAGAGATCGGCTCTTACCGCAGGGTCCCTTGTGTTTCACTTTGATCTCTCTCTTGAGGACACAGGCCATGGAGTCAAGCTCGCAGGGGTTGCCATAGGTGCGGTTGTCGGTGCCGCACACGGGGTCGTAGCGGCCCTGGCACACCTGCTGGCACTCGCACACGGCCTCCTGGTTCTTCACCACGCACGTGGCCCCGAAGGTGCACTCCACGCTCAGGCACGGGCTGGGTGTGCCCAGGTCTGCAGAGGGGACAGGAGAGAAAGGCACGGGTCTCAGTCTGCTGCTTCCCCCGCTCCCCCGGGGCACTGTGCACAGCAACGCATGCCAGCATCCCCCGTCTGCCTCCCCCAAGCCGTGGCAAATGCACAGAGCTCCTGGCCTCGGCACCAGCCCAGCCCCTGCACCCTCCATGCCACCCCGACATGCCCAGCTCAGCATCTTCCCCATGCTTGGCAGAGGTTAGGGATGGGAAGCAGGCACAAGATCATCTCCCGGCACACAATGAACAGGACTCCTGCCTCGTCTCCTCCATCCCATCCCCGTCCCAGCTACATTCTGCTCGGAGGAGCCAGCCAGAAGCGGGATCAACCCCGCGGGTTTCTGCGCCAAACCCTGATGTCTGGGTCTCCCCCACAGCTCACACCAGCATCAAGAACAAGCATCACGTGCTGAGGGAGGGCAACCCAGACTGAGGCCCCTCGTTGCCAGGAGAGGAGCCGGCACTTCTCTTCCCGGGCAGCAGCGGTGCCACGAGCCCGCCTGCGAAATCGGATCGGAATGACCAGCCCAGGGCAGAGGGCAGGAGGCAGCAGAAAGCTGAGGAGGTCAGTGTGGGTCCAGGTCATTCGCTACATCATCGGTACCCGGCACCAGCTGCCAAACCCTCAGCAGCCAAAAAGCTCACGCAGGGATAGTTCCCTTCACTGAGGCCCACGTCCTCAGAATCACGCTGTCCTCAGAATCACGCTGTCTCCAGCTCATCCTAAAGCCCCCTGTGGCGATACCCAGGAAGACCTGGCTGGAGAGGACACCTCCATCTGCCTTCACCACACGGCCTGTCTCCCTCCTCTCCCCAGCAGCTCAGCTCCTTTCCTTTCCCTTCCCTTCCTCTCGCAAGTTGGGGTTGGAAAGGCCGGGGAGCTGCTGTGCAGCAGGATGAAGAGACCTGGTGTCCTTCCTTCGGTCAAGTCCTCGGGCATCTGGCTCCAGGAGCGGATGCTCCCTGGGGACGGGTAATGCCACAGAGCGCGGGTTGCAGGCTGAGAGGCAGCAATCCCCTCTGCTCACAAACTGGAGCTGCTTAATCAAAGTCAGCCGAGCGGGTGGCACCTTCCCTGCGAGATGCCCGGCAGTGACGAGGTGAGCAGCCAGCCCTGATGGTGACAGCAAAGAGAAAAGGCTGCGTCCGACTCCCTGGTACAGCTCTGCAGCTGCTCGCAGGGAAAGCCTTGGGTTCCGCCTGGTTCCCAGCCCGCTCGCTGAAGGCAGGCGTGACCCTCTGGGAATGCCCTCCATCACCCAGAAGCCAAGACAGGCAGGACTGGCCGTGCTGCTGGGGAGAGACCCAGCACCGCCCAGAGACCCCTTCTTGTGACTCAAGACAAAAGCCCTGGGGACCTGGGGCAAGGAAAGGACACAAATCTCATCTGTGCTGAACACTGACAAGGACACAGGACAACACGGATGTGGGGAACAGACAATGCGGCCAAGGCGAGATGGATGCAACAGGCAGACACAGCGCAGACCCCCAACACCAAACAGCGAGGCAGGCCCAGAGACGGAGTGCGGTGGGAAAGACAAAGCCCTCCGGAGCCTGCTGGCATGGCACAGAGAGCAGTCAGGGGCAACAGGTCCGTTTTCCTCCCCTGCTAGGGCCAAGGTGGCATATCTGCAGACCAAGAGCAAGGCTCGAGCCCTCGGGGGTCTGGCTGCATGCTGTCAACCAGGGAGAAAACGGCCCATAGCATGGGCACAGGCAAGTCTGAATTTTGGATTTGGCTCTTTGGGAAGCACCCACCAAGTCAAAACTTAGAGCCAAAGGTCTGCAAAGGAAGAGGGGAACAGTTCAGGCGTGTGGCCGCTACTTCGACCCAGTCTTTTCAACTGCGTCCCCAACTTCCCTGCAACTGAAGAGTTTATGAGCGGTTCCCAAGGACCGGGAATCGCTCCCTGCTGTGCTTAGCCCTGTGATGCTGCTCACATCTCCTGCTTGTGTTTCACTTTTTAAAAAAAACCTAACATATGTACCATAATCATGTCCCCCAAACACAGAGACACACGCTTACATGGAGAAAGAGTCTCTGCTGGAGACAATTCGGCAGTAAGGATGCAACGAGCTAGGCGTGAAGCAAATACATTTGTCCATTTGAAATCCAAATTCACACTCCTGTCTTGGGGAGCAAGTGAGCAGTGAGAGAGAGGGCAGGGGGGTGCGAGGCTTGATGGAGAACACTCCCCTGACATTCCCTGCCCTTCCTGAGCAGGCAAACCTGCAGAGATGCAGCCCATGAGGTTCCTTCACAGCTGAATCTCAGCCTGTGAAGTTTCCCACGCAGCCCTGGACCCCTGCGGAAGTCAATGGGGGTTTTGGCACCAATTTTGACATGAGCGGATATAACGAGGACCTACTAAACAAGGACCTTAGGCTGTGCTATAATCAAGACCTGCTTTGATTCCTGGCCCTTATCCATCTTGTAGGCAGGGAAACCGAGGCACAGAGTAAGCAAAACGCTCATTCTGCACCCTGATTGATTCAAGGGCAAGGTGCCTCTCCTGCTGCCGAGCTTTGCAGTAACCTAACCAAGCCCTGGGACCTGGGGACACTGAGCTCTCCTGCAAGCCCAGCCTGTGGATGGCTATGGAGAAGAGGCTCTGAAGCTGCTTTGTAACCCATCGCGCCCCATCAATCTGTGCCCGTGACACCCAGCGGGCTCCGGCACCAGCTCCACAGAGATATAGGTGAGCATTCCTAGGGAAGAACCATAACTGAGCACAGACTGAGCTCCTCAGTGCTTCCAAAAGACACGTGGTGCTTTGCTGGACGCTGGGGAGGGGAGCTGCAATCCCTGCAGAGCCCCTGGCCCACTGGACTTGCACAGACAAGCGTGACACACACTACGGAGGGCAAAGGGTCAAGCATCACAGTCCCAGGCAGGCAGAAGTCTCTGGGAAAGAGGAGGTGGGGAAGAAAGGGGGGTTAGTTGGGGGCAAAAGGAGAGGTAAGATCAACCAGGAACAGTCCAGACTGATGTATCAGCCAAAGAGGGGCTTGCTAAGGATTGGGGGGCTCACAGCACCCACCTCTGCTCCCACTCTCATTTGCCTCGAAGGGTCAAGCCACAGCAAGCATCGGACAAGACCCCACTGCACTGCAAGGCATTTCCATTCCAGCAGGAAGTGTTTGGGGTGAGGGATGGGAGCAAAACCAGGGCAATCTCTCCATCCCAGGGGCTCTCAAGCACAACTAGAGAGGAGGGGAGTAGTGAGAAGATGCCAGGACTGTCACTGGCTACGGAGAAGGGGAGAAAGCCGACCTCCTAGCAGAGATGTCCAGGTAGGGAGCAGAAGGGTGCTGCGAGGACACAATTCCTTCCTCCAAACGGGCAACACTGTAAAACACAAGACACAGACGAAAAAGGAAAGAGAGAGCGGAGGGAGAAAGAGAGCAGGAGGAGAGAGAGCAGAGAGAGGCAGGGAGGAAGAGACAGATGCAACTACAGACGCCTTCCCTCCACCTCCTGTCTACATCGGTCTCATCCCATCCCTTCTTTCTCAGCTGCCCCAGCACAATGTGAAAGTAGAGAAGGATTAAAACCAAGGCCTGGACTGTTTTGTTTGGCTTTGCCTCCTTTGCCTTGCTGCTGGAAAAGACAGCAGCAGAGCTCAGAGTTCATTAGTCAGGTACGTGTGAGAGATTAAAACACTGAGACTGTACTAACAGCCTGCCTTTCGTTTCCTTCCCTTCCCCAGCTCCGCACATCTCCTGCATCCTCACAGCACAGAGGCGGGGACGAACTCGCCACGGTCCCCACCCTGGGTGCTGGATGCAGACAGAGCCTGTAGCTCCCTCACCCCCCGATCTCACCCACTGCCAAGTGTCCCATGAGTCCTGTCCCAGCATCCTGCTTCCCAAGGAAGCCTCGGCCAGGAAGCCAGCCAGGAGAGAAGTTTAGCACCACCAGCAGTGCTCGTGCTGAGAAGACCTGTCTTGAAACACAGGATGGCAAGTAACATCACCCCGTCCCTGTTTCTAAACCTGTTTTCCATCTCGCGTTAAGTCTGAACTGGTGACACAGAGGAGGGTGTGCTTTCTTCCCAACGGGCAGCACCGAGCTCTGAGACAAGATCCTTTCCTAAGCCGATGGAGAGGCCAAAGGCTTGCCCACACCCGGTGGTGGCTTGCTACAGGGTGGCCTGGAACTGTCACGTGGACTTTGAAATCCTAGGCTTTGGCAGGCAGAGCCCCAGCTTTGGTTTCCCTCCCCCAGATGACAGTCTTTTTTTGTGCTCCTACCCCACAAAGATGCAGCTCCTGAAAGCAAACGTGTGCACCTGCCATCCTCACCTGGAGGAAGAGAAGCTGGAGGAAGCTAAAATAAAAGAGACGAAGATGGAGAGAGGAAGAGCAGATGCACAGGGACCGTATCCCACTGTCTGTCCACTGGCATTATTCCCCTGAACGTGGTGGATGCGCATCCGTCAGCAGGATAACCAGCAGCACGAGCTCTCTGCTCGCCCTACCATCTCAGCAAGCCTTAGCAAGGGCCTGTCTCTACCAGAGGTACAGGGAAGGGTTTGTAGAGAGCCCAGGGCACCAGGACCCGGCCACCCAGCTACAAATAACCACGTCCCAGCCCCGCTGCCCCAGAGCTGCCTCGGGAGCCCAGCCACAGGCACCTCGCTTTGCGCCCACCCTCCCCTGCGCCAAGGCAGCCTGCCTCGCCAGGAGCGGCACTATGCAGATGATGAAAAATAACAGTTGTGATTATATTGAGTGCGATTTTGGGAGCCTGACAAACGGTTTTCAAGCAGCTGGGCCTGGCAGCATTAAAAAACTACTGCAGGAGCACAAAGCCAACAAAACAGACCCACAACATGGGGCTTAATTTCCAAGTACTTCAGACGGTTTGATACATCTGATACTTTATAAAACATCAGCTTAAAATAATAGGACACGGTCCTAGGTGTAGTAAAAAGCAATTTGAGCTGAAACGAGCAGACCTTCCAACTCAAACAAATCAATCCAGTAACTGCATTTAACCTCCTTCATTTTCTGTGCAATAATTTTAAAACTGGACGTTCCCAACATCCTAGGGACCCAGAGCCCCATCCTATCACGTAAGCCTGAAAAAGCATCCATTGGAAAGGTCAAAAGCTTTTCCCAGAGACGACACAAAGACATGGTGAGACCTCCAGAGAGCAGGCACGCTGGGAAGAGTTCCTTACGGAGAGTACCTGGAGCTGAGAGAAGCAGGCAGGCATGGAGGGGGAAGCATGGAAGGAGCTTGAGGACTGGCACTACCCTGGGAGGAGAAATGAATGACACGGGCTGCACGGGAACTGCGTGGTGGTGAACGTGCACCTGGCCGTGGCAGTGAATGAGAGAAACCAGCTGGACATCACAGACACTTTGGTACCGTTTAAACACAAATGAGTCTTCCTCGTGTTACTGAGCACATCAGAGAGAGACAAGACCAAGGAGGAACACATGCACACACACACACGAGGACTGCTGCAAGGAAAAAGAACAGGGAGGAACGGATATTCAGGGCTTGTCGGCCACAAGACTGCAGAGAGCCTAAGGCTTGCTCAGACGGCGGGCACCCAGTCAAACTCACCTGCAGCTTTCCAGCATCAACGCGAGCACCGTTGCCTGCACAGAAGGGACTGACGCAGGCTGGGCTTAAAGTGGCTGCTGGGACTGGGAAGTGAGAGGTGTAGGGGGACCAGTGTTCCTGCGGGCGACCGGCCCGGCAGCACCAGTGCTTACCACAGGGTCCACTGTGCTTTACTGGGATGGCAGCTTTCTGGTGGCACTCGGCCTTCTGGCGCTCGCAGTCGTTGCTGTAGGTCCGGCTGTCCCGGGCACAGACGGGTCGGTAGGCACCATCGCAGGTGATGCGGTCACAGGAGCAGCGAGTGGTGCCGCGGCGGTTCAGGCAGACAGCGTTGAACTTGCATTCATCCTTGCATTTGTCTGGGAGGAGAGAGGATAGCACCGCTCGCGCCCACCCCGGGGACAGGGGAAGGGGATATACTCTCATTGCCAAAAGCACGGCATGGAGCAGTGGGGAAGGGCAGGAACCCGAATGCTCCTGGTCCCCAGGAAGCAGAGAGGTACTTACCCTGATGCTGGCACTGCCCTGAACGCACCTTCTGGATCTCCAGTCCTCGGATGGCCCCCGAGCGCCCCATCACGCACTCGTTGTCGTAAGTCACCCCGTCATCACCGCACACAAGCTCCCTCTTTGCGGGACAGTTCTCGGGGCGGGAGAGCAGGTCCACCCTTCGGGTGCGGGGGTTCACCCGGCAAACACGATTCATGTCGTTGAGGATGGCTTTACACGGGTCTGCTCACAGAGACAGAGTGGATAGTTAGGCACGCTCACGCCCTACCCAGAGAGGTGCTTCTGGCCTGTCCTCCTCCCTCCCAGCTGGCCCAAAGAGCCTCCGTACCGTCCCCAGTAGCACCCAATGTGTGCTCGTCTCTTCCTCGGGACTGGACATCTGTAGGGCTCTGCACACGTACAGAAGCCTTTTTTACCGAGCTGCACACGCTGAGGACACGTGCCCTTTCCAAAGGGACCACTGCATGGGATGAGCTCTGCCTTTTCCCCATCCTGAGCTGCCTTCGCTCCCCTCTATCTACGGGACAGGGCTCCCTCCCCTGACCCAGGTAAACCTCCCGAGTCCACGGGGCGTTCGCTGGGCATTGCGAGATGCTTGGTACTCCCACCCTGCTCCTCCCACTCTCCCTCCCCGTCTTTCCAAAGTGCTGGAAGAGCCCCAAAGGCAGCCAGGGCCACACACCGCCTTGCCCCACTGCTCTAATCTAGGCTTATCCGGATCACCCTCTCTGATGAGCTGAGCTCACATTAGCATACCAAAGACACGGGCAAAACAGGTGCCGACTGTTCACTAATCCCTTACTCTAGCCCTGGGTTTTTCTCTTCCTTGTCAAGCACGGTACCTGGAGAGTGCTGATTCATTTTTGCAACTGCAGAAACACGAGCGAATGTTTCCACCCTTTAATCCTACCAGTCTGAAATCCCAGCATTGCCCACAGTCCCAGGCTGACAAGGGGAGGAAACAACGCAGTACCCCGTTTCCCCAGCCTCTCGCAAGCAGGTGAGGGACCTCCCTTTCGGCCACCCCCACATCCCTTGGAGAAGGCCAGCCTAGGACAGGGTCACGGCTGAAGCCTTTTGCTTTGTCCATTTTAGCACACGCAGTAATCACGGAAACGAAGCAGACGAAGGAGCTCCCGCAGGACCTACCCAATCCATCTCCCATTCCCCCTCCGGCAAGAGCTACCCGTGCTCGCTGCTGCCCTGCAGTCACACCAGCAGACAGCCAGGGATGTGTTACCTCCTTGGAGGCCTCTACAAACCCCAACAAAATCACAAGAACATCTTGCACGGCCTCAAGGGGCTGTGGGTAAACAGGGCTGCTGCAGTGGGCCAGGGATGCGGTAGAGTTGAGGAGACGGGGACGGCATCGGAGGGGCTGGGAATGAGGCAGAGGCACAGATGTATCTCAGGGACTGCGTGATGAGGATATTCGAGATGTGCTGCGCCTGCACTGCTCATCCCCACTCTCTCCCCTACCTTGCAACACATCCTCAAGCCTTACAACACACCCAATAGAGTCCAAATGCCTTCAAGTATTTCCAGGTTCTACAGGCCAGCTGCTCAACTCAGACTGCCTGACTTTCTGCTGATGCCCAGCTAAAATCAGGAGGACCTCAAAGGAGCAGTGAGGCTCAAAGCCTCCTCTCTGCCCTAGAAACCGGGAGCACCCAGCGTGACATCACCTCTTTCTCACCTCCCACTTGCACCCATCTCGCCCTACTTTGGCCTGAGCAGGGAAAGTGTAATTAAAGCTCTTCCAGGTTTGCAGCCTGCCCAAACACACTCCCACATTCCTTCCCCGGGGGACAAACACTGCCCTGGCACGTGTCCTGGCTGATCTCATGGTTTTCCTAATGAATACAGTTGCTTTTAATTACAAGTACCCACAGCCATCATTAGCCAAAGAGGAAGCCATCCTCGGAGCGGCAGGACCGTGTTTGCGCTCTGGG